AGGGGCAGAGGTTAAAGGCGACAAAGCGGAGCGGATACGAACAGCTTACTGCATTGGCGTATTGCCTTTTTTGTTTTAAAATGGGAATACATAAGACTTAAAGTAGAAGGAACTGAATAAAACAGGAAATGGAAAGTGAAAGGGGAAAGAATTATTATGCTCACACACCTAAATACTGGCTGGTGGTCTAATGGGGTATTGTACTAAAAAACGAAGAGAATGTTCTATTTACCAATACATACATTTCTATTCTATGCTATGGTTTGCAAAACGCCTTCCTTTTAGAATTTGTTTCAGATTTTTGTTTTAAAATTTTTAATAATTCAATTAAAAAATAAAACAAAAAAAAGAAAATAAGATCAAATAGAATGGAATAACAGAAAATAAAATAACAAATAGTATAAAATAAAATAAAATAGAATAAAATAAAATAAAATAAAATAAAATAAAATAAAGTAAAATAAAATAAAATAAAATAAAATAAAATAAAATAAAATAAAATAAAATAAAATAAAATAAAATAAAATAAAATAAAATAAAATAAAATAAAATAAAACAAAATAAAATAAAGTAAAATAAAATAAAATATATTAAAATAAAATAAATGAAGTTATATTAAATGAAATAAAATATAAGATCTTAAAAGCAAGAGAAGAAAATAATATAACATGAAATGAAAAAAATGGGAGTACACTACTTTCATCATGTTGGAGAATTAACTTATCAAGATTTCACATGGATGGTTTTAGTAGCTACAACATATTTGGCTGGCCGTCTCTAAAACCAACTCTTTTGAAGCGCCGAACCCACCCTCTCTCTCTCTCTCTGCATGACGTATTTATTGGTTGTTACACATTCACCATAAACTTACATAAGCAGTCGATGGGCTTCAGCTAAACTTTTCTTCTAATGAAATTAGATAGTATATCAAAATCACTTGAAATTTCATTTGTTTAACACTGATTCGAACATTCTCGCAAATGCAAAAAAAACTTTATTGTTGTCATAATTTTAAACAGATGTGAAACCTTTCCAATGAAATAGGTATTCGGCTTCAAGATCAGCTTGTAAGTAAATCGGTCTTTAATACTCCTAATAACTAAGAAATAAGAAAGTTTCTTATAATTAAAAATTTTATTTATTTATTATTTATATTTATTTATTTATAGCAATTTAACTGTGATTTTATGATTTTACAGCTTTCTCACAGCAGTTCTGTTAAAATCTAAGCTTTTTTTCGTCTGAATAGATATGAATATCTTCCTTAAACGTGGCAACACCGCTACCACCAATATTTTCAAAAGTCTCAAAATCGGTGAATGTCATAAATTAGCAAATTTGCCATACACAATAAAGTAATCTTTATCAGTCTATTGGTAAGTGTATGCACATATACATACATGAATATTTATGAGAAGCCTTATCTATGTTTGTTTGTTTACTTTCGTCCAGTTATGTACATATTTACCTCGTTGGTATGTGCACCAACAGTAGCAGTAATCAATCGAAGTGATTGCATTTGATTTGGCTTGCGCAAGCAGCACTTCCTTCCAACCCCGCCAAAAACGATTTGACTATTGACTTCTTGTCTGCCATAACAGTCTCGTCTGTTGTCTACTAAAGTGAGACAACAAAGTTGATTACTGTCGGTTAGTTGAGTGGTTTATTTGATGGTTGAACTTGTCTTTCTGCCATCAGTCATTGGCAACTTAAACTGATTTGTTTGCTCAACAAAGTTTTGCCACTTTCAGAAACGATTTGCGGTTGGATTTTCAAATATTTCACTTTTGTGCTTGCCAATGTGGCGTACGGTTGACTAGCGTTGCAGCTTTGATGACGTAAATAAATATGGTATATATAATATACGTATATATGTATGATTCTCAGAGTGGCTGAATAGATCTTTGCGTTATGAATATTCACATATATTTCTATAGATTTTATGCCATTCGCTTCTCTCCAATCATCATCCATTGAATATACGTGTATGTACATATTTGCATTCGGTTGCACAACGTTCCCAGCCTGCGGCTATATGCATAGTTGCACTTAGCTATGTATTCACTGTGTTGCCACTTGCATATTTGAAATATTGCATTCAGTGCAAATAAAACATTTGCTTTTGAAAAAACTCGATTTGTCCGGCTGACACAGTGGAATACAATTTTTCAAACCTTTTTCGCTTTCCGCTCCATTTGTGGTAGAAAATCGTTATTTGCAATGATTTTTGGTTGCTCGATTTGTCGTTGAGTGCTGCGAGCGATAGAAAGAAGAAGCAAAGAAATAGAGAAATTGAAGGAAAATTTTATTTTTGCAAAAAATAGAGTGAAATGCATTTATTGTGTGCGCAGATTTTGACATAAAGGTGGTTTGTAGTTTAAAGAAAGATTTTACTTTTGCCTTAAATTAAAAGAAATTCAAGCGAAAGGGCCTGCTCCAGTATAATTTCTTATAATCGTATATGGAACAAAAAAAAAAATACCAATTTATTTTTAGAATGAAAATATATAAAAATTTAGATTAGTTGAAATCAATTTTATCAAAAAATATATTTTTATACAGACGGCTAACAAAAGTCTATATCAAGATCGGCGATCCCCGTGTATTAGATTTTCACTGCTATTCGACAGACCAATGAAACTCAGTATGTGAGGGACATAGATCACCAGTTCAACTCCATAAACATGAATATGTGATCATCAACTTTATGCCAAGAAAAGCGGGTCACCTCACTCTTCAACTTTTAGTATCTATACTACAAGATTCGCATTGAGGTTGAGCGCAACGGTACATGACATACACGTCGTCTGTTAGCTACGACCCTACTTGCCGCAAACTACCTTCTCAAGCCTTCATTTCATCTTGTTGAAACCAATTTTTCCACGTCAAACCTGTTTTATTTTTGTTGATGGTTGTTTTTTGCTGCACCGAGGCGAGGGCGCATCTTTGTTCTGACAAGTCTGGGTTGATATTAAATCTTCGGCTAGACGAATTTCCTTGCGCTCGAGTTAAATTATACAGATAATCATACATAAAGATTCGGCGAAGTTTATCAATCTGAGAGGCTAAATTTTCCAAGTTATGCGCTAAATATAACTTCCTGTCCACATTTGCATTATAATACGTAAGCAGGATTTTAAATTTGCCTTCACTGTTATGTTCTCGTAGCTCACTTAGAGCATGTTTGGTTATAGAATCTTACTCTTTCGCCAAGGTGTTGACGGAAATCAGCGCTACATTGAAACACTTCACTGTGAAACGCATTGTGACTACACGCTCAACCTACCATATATCCAAAACGATCTTCTCGATCTTCGCAATCTTCAAGAAGAGAGTGGAACTACTTACTCCAGAATGAATGAGGAAGCATCACGAATTACTTTGGTAGCAAATGAGAATAAGACGAAATATCTCCTGTCAACAAATACACAGTCAACGCTTTAGCAATAAGGCACTCTTATCACCGCTGACAGGCATAACATTGAATTTTCGTCCATATATGAACTAATATCCTTGCCGGAAAGTGCTGCTATGGACTCAGTAGGCAGTCAAGAAGTAAAGCGCTTTCTGGACTAACAAAAAAACCCAATCTTGTTCCACTATATGGTGCATAAGCTTAGAGAATGGCAATATCTGAGAGTAGACATCAAGAGTTTGCGATAGAAAGCTGTTGCGGATGATTTACGGTCCTTGAGCATTGGCAGCATTGGATATTGCATACGATGGAACGATGAGCGGTAGAAGGATTTAAGAGACAGTGGGTAACTTGATTAAATTCTTTTGTCTAAATAGTTGAAATTTCTCCAAATTTCGAATTATTCGATACAGCCCCCTTGACGCTGGCAGAGGAAGGGGTAGACATTTATTCAGGTTCCACTTGGTGTTGCAGACTAGCGCCGAAAGGCTAAGCAAAGAAATGATAGGTTAAAAACGCTTAATCAAAAATAATAAGTTAAGGATAAGATGAGATACAAAGTAAATTTTACTAGGACCTATTCACTTCCGTCATTGTACCATCCAAAGCATATAACGGTTGGAGGTGACACCAATTTTGAATTTTTTTGAGAATGCCTACCAGCAGGATATTGACACTTTTCCAGTTAAAAAACTGAACTGAACTCATGCCGACAAATCGTGATCCGAAAACACTTGAAGTGGGCGTCATCAAAAGTGAGGTCCTACATCGTAGGGTTTTGAAATTTTTCCTCATATTAACTGGCATTTCAACCGATACTTGGTCTAAGAAGTCGCTTCGCGAGATGCTTCTAGGTGAAAGACAGTAAACACTTTTAGCCACTTAGGGGTCGGGCAATCATATTTTCCAGCTTAAGGGCATACAAACGGAAGATTGGCCTCTGCTCAAGTCTAAGGTTAATGAAATTTCCAGAATGACCTCATACAAAAAAGTAAAGACATAAAGAAGCGAAATAATTTTGGGATCCAATAATTTAAGCAAGACTTCGTGCAGTACACCAGGGTGACCTACAAATGTTCGACATATTTGAAAACAACTGTATATAAATATCATAAGCTTAAATATTAAAAAAATGATTTTTCTTTCATAACAGAGTACTTTTGCAAAAGTAAATGCGATTTTAATATATAAAAATAACCACAACGGAATGTCTGTCATAAATCGATAAGATCGGCAAGCCATCGACTTCAGATTGAACATATGGTTTTGATTTATACCACAATATTTTTCAAGTTAGAAAATCCCACAATATTCTTTTAACATTTATACCTATATGTATGTATATACTCTCCCCTTATCTGGTACCTTTTGTCGGCTACCGATAGCCAGTGCGACGTCAATACATTAGCACGCGTCCAGTCTTCTGTTCGAGTATATTTTTGAAATTTTTATGCCGGTCATAATTTATGAAAATCGCTTATTTTTTTATCAAATCAATAAGTTTTAGCTGATATTTGTGAATGAAAGTATTAAGAAGTGACGGTACTTTCGCACCGTAAGTATATAAGTTCTTGCTTTCGCACTACAACTTCATAGGTATTTCTATACTTTAACAATATGAAGGTGTTCGTTGTTTTGGCTTTACTCGTGGCTTCGGCCTCCGCTGGTCTCCTCAGCTCACCCATAGGGGCAGGAGAGCCCATACATCCACGTAACTTACCTGCAGTCCTTGTTCAACGCGAGGGTGTCGAAGGTCGTATTACCAACGGTAATGATGCAAGCGAAGGACAATTCCCCTACCAGGTTGGTTTGAGTTTCACCAGCAGCAGCGGCGGTTGGTGGTGCGGTGGTTCTTTGATTAGCAACAAATGGCTTTTGACTGCTGCTCACTGCACCAGCGGGTGAGTGTTTCACTTTATTGTGTTGCATTTAAAATTGTCAATAAAGAAATTAATTTTTTAATTTTTTCCAATTATAGTGCCTCAGGTGTCACTGTGTACCTCGGTGCTACTGTACGCACCAGCCCCAAGGCCACATACAGCGTTACCAGCAGCAGCTTTGTTCAACACAAGAGCTACAACTCAGTCCGCTTGTCCAACGATATCTCGCTCATTCAGATCCCAGCTGTTTCCCTGAGTGCTTACATCAATGTGATTGAATTGCCTAAAATATCCTCATCCTACTCGACTTACTCTGGCCAAACCGCTATTGCTTCCGGTTGGGGTCTCGTTAGCGACAGTGCTACTGCTGTCTCCTCCAAATTGCAATACGCCAAATTGGCGGTGATTACTAACTCTGTCTGCGCTAAGACCTACAGTTCACTCGTCGTTACATCGAATACCATTTGCACTGCCACTCCTTCTGCTACCTCCACTTGCAGTGGTGACTCTGGTGGCCCATTGGCTTTGGATGGTGTTCTTATTGGTGTTACCTCATTCGTGTCATCGGCTGGTTGCGAATCTGGTGCTCCAGCTGGTTTTGTACGTGTCACCAGCTACTTGGACTGGATCAAGGAGAACTCTGGTGTTTCTTACTAAGATGATGTGTTGACGGGTTATAATTATATTAAATAATAAATGCATGAACGATTAAGAACGAATTTTAATGAATTGGTCTTTAGACGGGCGAAGACGATCTATAGTCCTTAGTGGAGGTCGGGTGAATATTGAAAATACGATAAGATGGCAAGCAGAATTGAAATTCCAAAAACCAAAATCTTGTTTTCGTGCTGCAAGTTTGATGTGAGTTTAGTTATCTTTCTTAAAGGATTCAAAAAAACCTTAAACTGACACGCGTACCTTTAAGTGTAAATAGTCTCTCTTGAAAGTGTGTTGGTGTAAAGTAAAACCGCTGTATACCTAGTCTTTCGAGGTACAGTGGCAGTTAATGCACTTAACTCGTAGTGTCAATCAAACAGCTGTCAAGTAGCAAACACACACCAACACACCTACAGAAGTAGAAAAGAAAAAATTAAACCATACCAAATGGCCATGACAAGGTGCTTTCAGTTGGAGTATAACAACCATCAAAGTGCCAAGAAAACACCAAGGAAAGAAAAAACAAAACCAACTTCATATGTGAGCGAAAAGAGCAAAACACACATACAAGTACAACTTAATAACTTTTTTATATGTATGCATATCTATACGTAACTAAAATACCCACCCAGCAATCTATGAGACTAATCAAAACTACTTTGGAACCAGTCTGCCAAGTAAATTGTCAGCGAACTGTAATTTTATCACGCCAGATACTGGTGTTTCATCACGAAAGTTGTTGACAAGGTGGTAATAATGAGATTTTTTCACAAATATACTGGTGTCATACTAGTTCAAAATGAGTGAGAACAAAATTTACGCCGTAATGAAGATAATGTCGAACTGAATCGATTTAGCCAGACCCATCTGCCTGTCTGTGTGAAAGCGAATTTGTCCTGCAGTTTTTGAGATATTTTAACCCCGCAGATGTATGTATTAATTACTTGCCAGAACCGGTTTGATCGGCCCACATACAGCCGATTTGTGAAAATACAAGGTTTAAGGGTCAAAAATCCGCCAAAAAGTATCTAAGAGCGTAAAATTTGGTATTCCCCATACATATATATACATGTATTATATATGTTTTGACACCGAAAATTCATGTAATTGGAGAACTAAATCATAATCCATTTGATTTTTTATGTATAAAAGTTAATATTTAACCCTGAAATGAAATGGTCTTTTCGCATTCTTCTAGTTGACACCAGTTTTGTACTATATTTACCTAAAACTTTCCAGTTGTGAACTAGTACTCTTTGTAACCACTTCGATATTTTATTGCCGGGTAAGCAAGGCGACAAGTAATGGCTGGTGGCTGAGCATATGACGCACACACTCACGCACAAATGTGTGTTTAATATTTGCTTGCGCTTGCCGGGAGCACCAAAAACATTCATACACACCGTACTTGACAAGAGCGCCAAAATGTAAAGAGCAAAAAAAAGTAAATTAGAAGTCAGAAAAAGACAAGTCATTGAGAACGAAATGAAGGATGTGCTAACTTGACAGCTGAGCAGCAGCAGCGGTGGCAAGTATTAACTACACTGCAGTTGTTGTTGGTGGCAAGTACAAGGTTTGGTTAAAATAAAGTCATTTGGGGTGTTCTAGCAGCAGCTACTGCCAGTATTTATTGTTGTACATCTCTCAATTTTTTTTTTGTTTGTTTGTATATTGTTTTTGTTGTTTATATTTCATTATACAATTATCTCGTTACCAGTAATAATGTGATATGCCAAGAACAAGTAGAAATTAAGACAGACAAAAAGCAGAAAGCTAATTTAGGCAGTGAGTGGAAGGGGAGGAGCAGGAGGAGCAGAAGTGATGGAGTTGCATTATAGTCGTGATATGCGAAAGAGTGAACCAACATTTGAAAGAAGTCCCCAATAGTAGTCTATAAGTATGTGTGAACACATACATATGTGTGTGTGTATATGTAAGGGAACAAAGACATTTATATATGAGTAGTCTAGTGCGCTCAAACCATTAAAGTTTTAGCGAAAGTTTTTTTTTTGCTCAAGTGTAAGCACAATAGTTTGGTTGATGGAACAAATGCGCGATGAGCTGCCAAAACCATGTAAGTGCCATGAAAGCTTTGCACTTGAATATTTAGTTGTTTGTACGAAATAGATGTGTTTGCATTTTCTTTTTTCTACATCTTGAGGATTAATAACTGAAATAACTTTTAGAAGAGCTGGTATTGGAAGATTTGTGCATATATGACTTGCTGAGAAACCGTGAAAAAAATTGGAAACCACAGACTTGGCATAAAATAAAACCACCGCTTTTAGTGGGTCTAATCTTAGAGCACTCATCTCCAACGGGTTCATAATTGGCATGGACATCACCTGCCGTTTAATTTTGTCGCTGTTCATAGTCGTTCGCAGTGAGGTACGTGCTTTTGTCATGCTTCTACATAATAAACTTTTGAACCTATTCCCTAGTTTAAGGTTATTGTTTCATAACAAGAGAACAATGAATGTTTTTTTTCCAAATAGACATTGATTCAGACAATGAATAGTATTGATTTTCTTCATAGCGCTGAAAGATCGCTCAGAGATACAAAAATATTTAGCTGCTAATAACGATGCAAGCCTTATCGATATCCTTGTCTTTTTTGTTAATTTTCTGCACCTTGACAGAGGTATATTCTTCCAGCTAATAGTATGATCTCCGAGAGTTCATATATTTCAAATATGGGTGACAACTTGAGTAAATCACGATCAGCCTCTACTTTGCATTGTGCCTTCCCGCTCAGAGGCGAATTAGTGTTACCAGCCACCATACTCTTACCTAAAACCGACAGCATTTCTTTGCTCGCATTTTAATTCAAGTCGCGAAAAGTATCGAGCGATCATTAAATTGGATACTTTTTTTTGTCGAAACTGGGAACAATTTTTTGGATATCCTCGAAATGATGAGGTTTGTGGGTAGATATTTATCGCCTAATTTGCTCTATTTTAAATCACCGATGGCTGTCAAAAGAAGTTTCTTTCATCGCATCCGCATCGAAGGTATTGGATGAGTGCATAAGTTCGTGCCCGATTTCAAGTGCAAGCTAAAATTGAAATTTTTGTAAGAAAGCGCTTTTATTAATCAATTATGTATTCGCCTTTATGTTCGGCAATCTACTCCCAACGTTCAACCAATTTACGGATGCCTGATTAATAGAAATCTCGCGGTTTCTCGTTGAAAAAGGTGTCAAGGTGGTTTTTGACGTCTTCCACATTTTTAAATTTTTNATATAATATGTATATATTTCTTTCACGAGCGCCACTCTCAAACGATTCGAACGGCATCCAGCGGAATCGGGCACGAATTTATGCACTCATGCAATATTTCAATATTAACTGAGAGTACCAATCAACTACACAAACTACCCTATCTATAAAGCGTCCCATCATTTCAGGTGAGCGCTCTCAAATTTGATCATTCAGTTATTCATAGATCAACAAGCTGTTCACGTAGAAGGATCCAAAGCTTTTGCGTAATTTATATTCTTATTTAGCTGACCTCCCAGCAATTGTTTATTAACTACTCTGAGTATACTTTGAGAATTCATGGAGAGAAAAACATATTTTCGGTATTAGTGAAACTCTGCAGCTTCATCCATCCCTCTGTGGGCAAAGCGTAGTTGGATCTTCCAAACGCATAATTTTAAATCTCAAATTCTAGAAAATTTCACTAAACAAATTCATTTGAAAATTTTTCCTTTCTTTCATTTTCTATTTCTTCTTCTTGAACAGCATAAAACTCACACAAAACAACCGCAAAGTTGACTCAATTATAAAAACGCTTACAGATACAGCTGTATCTATATTCATCATAACTTATAAAAATTGAAATATTTCACTTCTATACACACATATGTATGTACGTACTAAGTTAAACTCAATTTGTATCGCTTTCACTTGCAAGCTACCAACACTTCGCTTGCTATACATTTAATGTAATTAGATTAGCTTTATTGCCACTAACACACGCACACACACACACGTACACAAACGCAAACATACAGTATGAAAAGCTAACTAAAGCCAAACCAATCAGCTTAATTATCGGTTTCATGGTAACATAATTAATTATGATAATCTCATCACATCACAAATACAAACAGACGAACAGTTGAACACTCAAATAAACAGTTAATTCTGTGGCATTGCAACTTTGTAATTCCATTACCAGACTAAAAGAGTGAAGCAGATCTCGGAAGCAGCTCCTCTGGCAGAGAATCAGTAAGCCAAATAAAAGTCAACAGTCAGTAAAAGTCAGCAATATTGATGTGGCCCGATTTATGAAGTGTGCCACATGTGAATGGTGAAATTAATGCGAGCACTTAGTGGGGTCTTGTACATATGTATGTAGTGACGGTGGAACGGTTGCTGCTGCCCTTACACTTAATATAGAGATCAATCGATGTGTAAAGTGTGTGCAAGAGCAAAGGATGTCTTCATTTTATATATTTTTCTGTTACTTTCTTCTTTTTAATATCTTTAATATCTTAATTAATATTCTCCTATTAGTAACTCAGGGAATGTCCGCATCGGTATAAATTATGGTTTTGTGGGAACTGAGAATTTTCTTTTAATAAGGGATATGAATAATAATAAAATCATTACAAATTATGCATCAATATAGTAAATTAACTTTTTGATATTCTCTTCTCGATATTTTTTCCTTTAAATTTTATATTGGAACTATTTTCTCTCATGCGTAATTTTTTTCTGCGGGTTCTTGACGATTTTTCACGAATCCACTATCAAGCATAATACATATAATTTACTATATATTTTCTTTCATAATATTTATATATATTTTGCACACCAATATCTACATTCCAAAAACTTATGTGTTATCAGGCCATAAATATCAAAAGAAGCTATCAAAAATAGAATGTACAAAAATATATAGTGATATGTCACACGGCATCAAATTGTCACAACTTTTAAAATTCACCATAACTGTTGGTAAACAAATATAATTTTTCTCTCTGAGACACGAGCATACAAACAAAAGGTGCAAAAATAACCTATTTTGAAGAGCAAAAAATTTTATTGCATTTAAA